GGGCCTGTGGTCTGTGTCCGGGTGGAGGGTACATCCAAAAGTCTCTAACCCTGTGGAAAGGGGTTTCCACTTGTCCTTCTTGTTTATCTATTTTTAGTTTTTTTAAACTAATTGTGTATTGAATCATCCAGGAAATTGCACCCGATCATACAGTGAAGTTAGACCGGATTGGAGCTGATATACCAATTGTTCGAAGGCATGGAAGTAGTTTCCGGCGTTTGACTATGATAGGTTGTGATGGTTCTCAACGGCATTTCATTGTCCAGACATCTTTGACCCCTAATGCTAGAAGTGACGAAAGAATCTTGCAGCTTTTCCGTGTAATGAACCAAATGTTTGATAAGCACAAGGAATCCAGACGACGCCATATATGCATTCATGCACCAATTATTATTCCGGTTTGGTCTCAGGTAATTTAACTGTGCGATTACAAATCCCAGTTTTTGAAGTTTTCTGCTCGATGAACAAGGTAGACTTGAAGTTGTTAAATGAGATTTTGTAGTAGCGTTGCATGCCAGACCAAGTGGCTTTGAGACATTTATTTTCTCTGAGAATTGTGTTGCTTTTCTCATTGCACACTGTTCCCCTACACGAGGTTTCACTGAATAGAGCATGCGGCTACTCTGATTAAAAATATCTGCAAGGAAAACCTTGTCTATGAATTCTTTTCGTATTAATGTATCTCAATGAACAGGTACGGATGGTTGAGGATGATTTAATGTACAGCACCTTCCTCGAGGTGTACGAGAATCACTGTGCAAGAAATGATCGGGAGGCAGATCTCCCCATCACCTACTTCAAGGAGCAACTAAACAAAGCTATATCTGGCCAAGTATCAGCAGAAGCTGTTGTAGATCTTCGCCTCCAGGCATATACAGATGTTACAAAGACCCTAGTGACTGATGGTATCTTCTCCCAATACATGTACAAGACTCTGCCGAGTGGAAACCATTTGTGGGCTTTCAAGAAACAATTTGCTATCCAACTGGCCCTTTCAAGTTTCATGTCTTTCATGCTCCAAATTGGAGGACGGTCCCCGAATAAGATTTTATTTGCAAAGAATACTGGAAAGTTATTCCAGACAGATTTTCACCCTGCATATGATGCAAATGGAGTGATCGAGTTTAATGAACCAGTGCCTTTTCGATTGACAAGGAACATGCAAGCATTCTTCTCCCATTTTGGAGTTGAAGGCCTCATTGTTTCGGCTATGTGTGCTGCAGCTCAGGCTGTGGTCTCACCTAAAGTAAGTTATACTGGGAACTTGGCAGTTTCTCAATTGATTGATGTACTAGGCTGAAGGCACTGTTGCTTAAGAAACTGATGTCTCTGTCTTTCCCTAAAAATCTTTGTTGCAGCAAATTCAACATTTATGGTATCAATTAGCCATGTTTTTCCGTGATGAGCTGCTTTCGTGGTCTTGGAGAAAGCCACTTGGGATGCCCATGGCCCCTGTTGCTGGAGCTGGTAATTTGAACCCAACAGAGTTCAAGCACAAGATTATTGCTAATGTAGAGAGTGTATGTCGGATCAATGAAATGCCCCACAATGTGTCTCTGAGAGTATATATCTGCCAATTTTCTGCCTCCTTTT